GCAGCTTTTGTTGGGAATGATCCAGTTCCATTAGGCCTCAGGCAGCCTAGTGGAGATGTCGGGGGAACTGGATGCACAAATCTGGAGTTCTTGGGGAGCACACCTGGCCTGGGATGGAGATCTGGCTTCAGTGGCATATGAAGCGTGGGGCCACACGTCACCAGGAATGGCACATTGTAGAGAAGAGCAGACCTGGCCAGAGCATCAGCTCACCAAGGCTCTGAGGCTGCAGAGCAAGGACACAGACCCTCAGGACTGAAGGAGAGCCTGGAAACGCAAATGCTGGGCTGTTTCCCAGCCCAGAGTCAGGAGCAAGTCCCCCCAGACAGAGCGCCCATCCTGGGAGCACCCTGAGGGCGGGGACTGTCTGCACAGCTGTGCCCAGCACAGCGCCCGGAGCTCCAGGCCGTTCAGTGAATGCTGGGTGAGAGAATAACCATGCGCACTAGACTGAAGAGGGCTGGGGAAGGCGTGTTAGGGTGTCACGCTTGCACATGGTCTAGGAGCCCTCTGAGAACCTGGGAGCAGTGAGGTTATCATGCTACCACTCCAGGGGGTCTCCTTCCCCACCCAGCACCCTGGTCCCCCACCTCCTGCGGTCAGGGCTCTTGCTCCCATCACTCACCGGGATGACACCTGTCCTGCAGAACTCGACTCTGTCCTCTGCAGGCCGCCCTCTGGTTCCTGGCTGGACCCCGGCTCCTCTGAGCCCAGGGAGAAGCTGATGCCCACGGAGCTGATGGTGCCAACAGCTGCTGAGTGGAGACAGCCCTGGGGTCCTCCTGCAACAACCACAGCATCCCTCGCATGTCACCGACCCATCCCCACAGGTCACGGTGCGGGCAGACCTTCCCAGCGACAGAGGCAAGAGGGCCAGAGGGAGATGGAGAGAGGCGGGGGCCCCAGGAGAGCAGTGGGGACAGTGCAGAGACACACATGAAGCAGGGGTGGGGTCCTGTTTAGTGCTGCAAGCCGGTCACCCCCAGCACAGCGCCTGGTACACAGCAGATGAGTAATACCTATCTGGGAAGTGAGGGGGTGCCTGTGGTAAGTCATGGCCCCCCTATTCCAAGAGATACTTGGGGCGGGGGAATTGTGTCCCTGGAACAAGAACCAGAATCTTGTCAACTGTGATGTCTAACAGCTCACACTGTTTTTTGAGCATCTATGACATTCCAGGCAATGAGCTAAACCCTCTACAGAGATTTCAGGGGTTCCTAGGAGATGGGTTCTATTATTACTCTCAGGTTACAGCGGAGGAGACTGGCACACAGAGGGGTTACCTGAGGGGCCCAGGACTTCCTGGCTAATGAGAGGAGGAGCTTCACCTGGCCCTCTGCTCCAGGCCTCGAGGAGGTGACGGCCAGGCTGCCCAGAAAGGTCGGCAGCTCTCAGAACAGAAGCCCCACAGGAAGCAGGTAGGGAAGCCAGCAGCCAGCCTGGAGCCCACCCGAGGGAAGGAAACCACACCTTGGCACAGGCAGGCAGGAGCTCAGGGTGGGGCCTGCTCCCCGAGGTTCGATCGTGTGAGCAGGGGAGGGAGAGAGAAAGTGTCTGTCTCTGTGTGCACTGGAGGGGGTGGCCGGCACGCCTGGAGGCGGGGTGGGCGCTTGGCGCCCGCATCCTCAGTAAGGTCACTGTGGCCTGTCATCTCTCTGCCCTTGCCTTCTCCACTGTTTCCAAGCCCTGGATCCCTCCCAAGCCATCCCAGCCCCAGGGCCGCCAGAGCCGTGGGCACGTAAAGGCAAGGCTGTGTGTGTGTGCAGTGGGCCTAAGAGTGAGTGGTTGAGTTGCTCACCTCAGAGCACCACACGGGGATCAGAGCCTAAGGCTGCTGACGCCCAGGATCTGCCCATGATATGAGGACCCCTTCCAAGGGCAGAGGTGATACCCTCCTTCCTTCAGCAGCCTGCCCAGCAGGGTCGGGGGTCTGGGAGGGCGGAGATGCCAGAGAACCACCCCAGCACTCCTGTAGGAGCTCCGCCCACTGGTCACTGTGCCCTCTGGAGAGCACGTCTACCTGGCCACAGAAGGTCTCAAGGGCAGGATTCCCGCTGAATTAATTCACTTCTGCGTCCCCCACAGGGCCTGGGATGGTGCCTGGCATGCGAGGGGTGCTCAGTCAATACTGCATGAATGAATGGACGAGTGAATGAATGAAATGAAGATGCTGAAGGAGGAGGACCTCAGCCATGGGATCATTTGGCATTTGCTGCTCTAAGCAAACAGCACATCCTGGAGCTGCTGCCTCTTCCCGCTCTGTCAGGAGTAACAGCAGCCACAGAACACCTCAGGGTTCCCAGCAGTCAGAGGGCATCACCACTGCCTCCCCAACTGCTCTGCCTCCACTGGAGGGGAAGTTGGCTAATCCACCTCCAGGCTGGTGTTGAATCCTGTACCAGCCCACAGACCCCCAGCCCCCAGTTTCCTCAACACCTGCTGCTGCTCTCAGGGCTGTGAGGAGCGGTGTGTGGCTATGTCGTCTATCAAGATGAACGGTAAGTGAAGACAGAGTGCCCAGCGGACCACAGACCCAGCCTGGGGCTCTGTTCTAGGACCGCCCGAGCCCTGGGGTAATCCCTTACCATCTCTGCAGTCCTCCAGGGGTGCTGCGGGCTCCTGGCTGCAGGCGCCCTTCCCCTCCGCAGGGCTGGCTCCTCCCCAGGGCTCTGGCAGCCCCTGGGGTGCACTGTTATTGCAGTTGTTGGTGGACAGGGCCCGCAGTGGGTGCCTGATGCGGGGGCTGCGGGGCTGGGGCTGTGGGGTGGTGACCTCACAGGTCCTGGGAGCTACACTTCTTGAAGGAGGCAGAGGGATGTCCACAGGCTCTCCCTGGTCACCTGGCCTGCGGAGTCCAGCCAAGGCTGCCTTCCTGTGAGACACAGGTGAGGTGGTTTTCTCTGAGGCGGGAGGGGTTGGCACCCAGCCTTCAGGGGAGAGGGACGCAGCTGGCTGCTGGGCCTGGTGGGAGGCAGAGGGCTCTTCGTGGCTCTGTTGTGGGGAGACAGTTCCCAGAGACTCCTGAATTTCTGTAGCCGAAGTGTGTCTGCCGGACCCCGAGGACCCCAGTTTCCTCGCAGAGGCGATGGCACGGGCTCTCCTGTGCAGAGCGAGGGAATCCAGGGGGTGAGCCCAGTGATCCTCCAGCCCTGGCCCAGGCTGCCCCTGGGGCCCCGGGAAGCCCTCTTGGAGTCCTGGACAGAAGGCTTTGAGAACTCATCTTCCCTGGGGAGCACAGTCCCCTCAAGCGTGTGTCCCGTGCCTCCTGCCACCTCATCTGACACCTCCACGGGCTCCAGACCAGGCAGGTAGTGTGGGGCCTGAGGGCTCCGGGGCGGCTCCGTGTCAGCCTTGTGGAACAACCTGTGGCCTCCTCGGGGCCTGCAGCCCCGCGGACGCGGGCTGTTGCCGCGGGCCCTGCTGGGCTGGGCGCTCCCGGCCTCCTCACTGTCCGTCCTGCAGCTGTCCGAGGTGTCCGTGCTGTCCAGGGCGGAGTCCACCTCCTCGGGGCGCTCCTGCTCGCCGATGTGTGTCTCCCGGATCGACTCGGT